TATAGAAGTAAACGCATTGACGCATAAAAGATTTCTTCAAGAATTATACAAACATGTGAAAACACATGTGTTATCTTGAATCATTGTCAGATCTGGGAGTTAATATTTAATACTGCAAAATTATGTTACTTTTTTGAGCTATCTTCTTCACTTGACCAATGTTTCTCTTGTTCTTGCAGTTCAAACTCCCATCGTAATTCTAATTCACGCATATCATTTGCAATACCAACCTCATATGTATCTTCCTAAATAATATTAAAATAAATATATATATATATAAAATTTAAATATATTTAAAAAATTTATATTGTCGTTATATATTATAAGAGTAAATTATTACCTCTTCGGTCTTATAATCCTGATTAAAACTTTGATTTGTAAGTAAGCTAGTTGATGATTGAATCCATGGTACAGTACCGTACGGACTCCAATTTCTTACATCCTTTTCTTTTTCCCTAATACCTGCTTCAATCATTTGCAATTCCTGTGCAAGTTTTTCACTGGCTGTTAAAGTTGCACCTTGTGTTGCAATCTACGAACATTCATAATATTATAACACATTCAAAATTAATAAAACAAAATACGATTGTTTCTAAGGAATTAGTGGTACCTTTAAATCATTTATTTTCTTCTCTAAATGTTTTAATTGTTGTTTTACTTTCTGTGACTCCAAGATTAAACTATAATAAATGTTATTAAAGTCATTTTAACCAATAAAATATTTAGTAAATTATCAATCCAATCAGTACATTTAAACTTACTCTTTCGACATACATTCCTGTTGCAAAAGTTGTGAGTGTGTCTGTGATTCTGATATATTTCGTCCAAGAGCAATATATCCATCCCCATAATTAGATGTTGTAACAGATTGCATTCCTCCGTTTGTACCAATAGGTGTATAAGCTATTACGAATATAAATATCACTCAAATACGACTTTATTTTTGGGACATATCATTGAAGAATAATTTTATTATTCATACATACGCTGATTGCCGTAATACCACGATGAAATGGAATTAGGAGGCATAGGTCGAAAAGTAGATATTGTAGGTGGACCCTCATTATACAAACTTGTAGGTGATACACCATTTGGAGATCTTATGAAAAATTGAAGTATTATGAAGATGTAGAAAAAATGGAGGAAGACCATTTATTTATTATACAAACCTTATCATGGTTGTTGATACTTTGGATATTGGTCCGTATTTGCTCGAAGATGATGCATCGAATGGTACAAATTCATCATCCAATAATAGAGGATCTGCACATCGAAAATTATTACTGCAACTCATATTTGATGAAGGACCTATAGGACTTCCAGATGAATTTGTCCATATCGATAAATTCGATGAAAGCACATCTCCTTGGATGTCACAATTCTGTAAAAAAGAACAAAACAAAACAAAATATTATACACTATATAACATGACATATGCAGAACCATAAACAGTATAGGTTCATTTCTTATACCATTTTCATTTGTGGAGCTTGCTTGTTGACTATAGTTTCAAGTTGATTTAGAATTTCCATTCTACGTTGTAATAACATTGCCAACGTTTTTGCTACTATTCGTTGCTACAATTAATATATAGATACACGATCATTTATGTATAACTAATACAAAATATTTACAATTAACACTTTTTTACATTCTATATACATTCACTCATTTTTATAAATTACCTTTTTACTGTTAGAAATTCCATTAGTTACACCTGACGTTATTTGCGGCGAATCCCACATATTCATATCTGTTGTATTATAATCTAAAGATGCTACAGGCATAATATAATGAGGACAATGAATATCCATGTTTTTCACTGGAACCATATGTGATAAATTTTGTGGTGGTGCTAACATGTAATTTGTCACAGATCCAACAAAATTATTTTCACTATTAATAATAGGATGTTGCGTTGGATTAACTTTATTCAATGAAGTAAAACCTATAAAGAATATAAGAATACTTTAGAACTCTGAAAATAAAATGACAATTATTACTTCATTACAATATTACATACTATCCCTATGAATATCATGTGGTTTTATGGAATGGTAAGGTGCCTCTTCATTTTGTTTAAAAACCTTATTGTTTTGAACAACAATAGATTTATCTGTTTTTAATTCCGTGTTACTGTTCAAAGGTAAATTTGACCTGATACTCAACTTTCGATTCTTTGACCTATACCTGGCCAAAAACGTAAAAAGAAAAGAAAAATGTAATGCTATAATGAGGAAAGAAAATATCTTATCTAATTAATGAAAATTTACTTGTCAAGTTCCATGTCACTGTGAGCAAAAGTACAATTTGTAGCTCTTGGACAAGATCCTCTAAGAGCAAGATCTCTGCACATGCTCACTTTATACTTTGGTTGACTTGGACCAATATTATGAGTGCCATCTGAACATTTTCTACTTCCATGCTGTTGAATGAATTCCACCAATGCTGCAACTACAGTTCTAACAGCTTCCAATGCTGCGCGACATTCAGCTAATGTGGGTAGTTCTGTTTCTACATAGCAATAATATATTATACATTTATAAATATAACATATATTAAAGAGATGAAAAAAATGTAAATACCTGGACTAGGATCTATGGCAGCTAATAATTCTAACTGTGGCCTTAAACCACTAAGTTGTCCTGGATCAGGTGTACGTTGTAAGGCAATAACTAATTCTTGCACACTTTGAGCAAAAGATTGTGGCGTTTGTAGCTTGTCAATAATACTTTGCATGTGAGACTTATGACCAGTATCTCCATACAATAGAGCTGACCATTGATCAGGAGCTATTCGTAATCCAGCTTCAGTTGCTATTTGAACAATCTGGGCATCATGTTCTCTTCTCAATGCATCATATGTTCTAAATTCTTCTTTTAACTGCATTAAAGATGAATCACCCTCTCGTTTGGATACCTAATTATGCATAAATTATTACTTTAAATATTATGGAAATAGATTGTCTGATATACGATAATTATAGAAGATAAATAAACTTTACCTTGAAGCAACTGGCTCTATAAAGAAGCTGCACTACATGTCCAATACTTGTTTTTGATGCTTGTGGAAAATGTGGTTCCAAACGTTGAACCACAAACATTACTAAAACTTTTCTTGAAAGTGCCGAACCATCCTCCAAAGCTAAAAGAACTAGTTTGAGAACCTCCTCTTGCATTGCTAGTAGAAAGAATAAAAAAAAAAAGCAAAAAGAGTATCAAACAAGGGGAAGTGAAAAATAAGTTTTTGTGCAGAAAATATTATTGAGAAAGTTAAAATTTTAATACTAATAAAATTGTAATTACTAATAGAGTGTAATTATTGTACCTGGTCCAAGGAACTGACAACCGCGTGCACGTACAGCAGCCCACAAATTTGCACTAAGCTGCTGGGGATTTTGATGTTGTAATATTAGTTCTGTGACAGACCTTTCTCCTAGGCTTCGAGCTGCTCGTACAGCACGTGCTCTTCCTTCTGGTTCTACTAATTGGCAGCCTACCAACGTAACTAATTTTCTTTGCATAGGGCGAGACACAAGTCCCATTCCTGCTGCTATAGTTGGATTTGTTTGACATGGTTTTAAATAAAGTGCTAATTCTTCTACACAGCGCTTAGCCACTAAATAATTAGCATGATCTTCGGGCGGTAATAATTTTTGATAAGATGTCGCAACATTTGTTGGAACAGTATTACCAACTAATTGAAGCAGAGCTTCATTTATTGGTAACCTTTCTATTTCAGTGTTTATGGTACTCTGAAAATGATATTATTTATTACATTGCATTATATATATAATATCTATAATTTATATGAAGTGACAGTAGACTTTTTACCTGATCAAAAGGACATTGCTTGCGATGTAAATTTGCTAGACATGTACGACATATAGTATGACCACATCCTAAAGATATCGGACCCCGTACAGCCACATCAAAGTCATGACAACAAACTGGGCAAGAAAGAAATTCAGTCCACTGTGGTGCCTGTATTGGCATTCTAAAACATAGGAACAAAATATTTTAATAAGTTATTTTTTTATTAAAATAACAATTCGATTAAATCTGTAAATTTTAAAGGACTCAAAATTTATATGAAAATGAAATATTTTTTACATACTTTAACAATTTGAAATATTTCAATAGACAATGGATAAATACGTGCAACTGAATTTCTCAAAATATTAATGCATATTGCAAGCAATATACTTGTAAGAATTTATTTGAATACATCTCCAAATAAAAATTCAATGTTAAATGCTCATCGCGACATTTATTTCTATATTTTATAACGAAAACTATTTAGGTAACTTCGTAAATGTGTATATTTCTATAGAATTAATAATATTAATATATCAAGGTTTATCTCTCGTACAAACAGTCCAACAGACGAACACTCACAGGCACGCACAAAAATACACACTACTTACATTCTTGTCCCATGATCGTCGCAATAAAATTGTTTAATTATTTGCAATAAATGCTCGTGACGTCTGTTCTACATTTTATCCCCAAAAAACATAGTTGTGCTTCTATCATTGTATCACATAACGATTCGATTAAGAATTAACGTATACATTTATTATTATATCTAAACTCACCTTGTTATTGTTTGTACAAAACATCACATTGATTAATCAGTTACTTCGCACATAATTCTGCCATCAAAGCAGGAACAGATGAATCACAGATAAGATAAGCTCAGTATGATCTCCATAGACATTTTTATGTCACTAGCATACACGAGGAAAATAATCTAGAAAGATAGGTTACCTCATTTACTCGTCGAATGGCGCTCTTGTCTATTATGAATAATTCTCATGAACGTTATGTGATACATTAAGGAGTTACATTGCTATATAAGAAACAGCCAATAAAAACCGTTATATGTCACGTATCGTCCAATAAGATTTTGTTTAATCCATTGGAAAAAGAAGTAACGCTGATACCACTTTGCGATTGGTCGAGTCATCAGAAATGACATTTTTTAAATATGTCCATTAATTGGAGCATTTTGATATCGCATAAACACACGACTATTTTTGCAGATCATCGAGAATAGAAATTACAGAAGATTACGTGGAAAAACCACCATTCGTATAGTCGATAGTGCAATAAGTTACAGTGACTGACCGTGCTAAAAAAAAAAAGACGACGAAAGGAGAAAGATCATGGTACTGTCGATGTTTGATGAAGCACACGCAGGATAGAAAGTGTCTGAAAGAGTGCAGGAAAGAGTCCACTAACATAAGATCAAGAATACGGTAAGATAGGATATAAAAATCGGTGTTCGAAGCTAATCGAAACGGGAAAGAATTTGTTGATAACAACAAGAAGAAAAGGAATAAAAGAACAAAACGAACAGTAGTGAGGTTCGGTAGTATCCAATAGTAAAGAAGGTGGAGTGATAGTGGTAGGTCCTGACTGTATTCATGTTGTAGTATTGGTACTCTGGTGTGGTCGTAAGGTGGTGTTAATGGTAATGGTAGTGATAGAGCTGTTACTGTTGATGGTAGTGGTGGTGGTGGCAGTGGAGGCGGCAGTGGCAGCGGCAGCGGGGGCAGCCATACTCAAACAACCGCCGAGCGAAGAACGAAGAGCGCGGAGCGGCGTAGAAATGAAACGATAATACGGCACGTTTAAACGTTCAGGGCCTGGGACGAGGCGCAAGACGCGAGTTTGACCGATTGGCCGTAAAAGAATCAGGGCGGAAGTGCGGCAAAGTTCGGAGAGGAAAAAGAAAGAGTGAGTGTCGTGGAAAAGAAGGGGGCTCCGCCGTCGAATATCGGTGGTGACTCTGAGCAGACGGTATGAGCGCAAAGACAGACGTTAACAGACGAGTCCTAGCGATTCAGGCAAAAAAAAAGAGGCACAAGCCGAGTAAAAGAAAAGGAAAGGGTAATTCTCAGGGTGATACGGACTCCTCAACCACCGGACAGTGCTCGAAACCACAGCCAAGCGTCGCTCGACAAGGACAAGGATCCGATTTCTTTCAAGACGCCTCTTCGGGCCAGAGACCATATTCTAACGATAATGGGAATAGGTATAACCGGTTATCATTAAAATATTATCTATTCAGACTTTGCCAGAATTATTCCCAACTATATTTTATATTCTTTTTTCAATTTAAACAAACGTCTTATTTTGTTCTATCCAGATTTCCTCCGTTTTCTAGTAAGGACATAATAATAAACTCTTTTTCTTTCAGTTTACAATTGGTTTAAAGATAAACAAAATTTAATTTCTTTATGCGACGATACGGAAGCTAATTTGTCTTTTTAATAAATCGATCTTTACGATATTAGTGCGATGATAGATCACTAGTGTCAATGACGACGAATCCTTTCTTTTGTCATTTTTAAAGTTATTTACATATTTGGGGAAATAATGTATATAAATATACATCTACATAATAGCGCGCGCGCACACACACACATACACATAAACACAAACATAACAGCTGCATGTTCAGGAAAAACATAAAGATATGAGAATCTTATTAACGATCGATTAAATTTGTAGAATGGAACCGTGTCACAGCTCCAGCAATGAAACAATAGAGGATGACGATGAAGTGTACAGTAGCGAAGATGAAGAGCAAGAAGATAGCAGTGATTATTGCAAAGGAGGTTATCATCCTGTGAAGATAGGGGATTTGTTTTTAAGTCGTTATCATGTGACTCGAAAACTTGGCTGGGGTCATTTCTCTACGGTCTGGCTTTGTTGGGATCTACAGGTATGTAAATACAAATATTAAAAGATAATTCATTTGCATCTAATACTCTTTCTGAATATATGTATGAGTTAATTCTTTAAAATTGTTTTACATATATAGGACAAACGATTTGTGGCACTTAAAGTAGTAAAATCCGCAACTCATTTTACTGAGACTGCTTTAGATGAAATAAAATTATTAAAAGATGTACGTGATACGGATCCTATTGATCCTAAACGAAATAAGACCGTCCAATTGCTCAATGACTTCAAAATCAGTGGCATTAATGGTCTTCATGTTTGCATGGTATTCGAAGTGCTTGGACATAATCTTCTTAAATTAATCATTAAATCTAGCTATAGAGGAATTCCAAGAAACAATGTTAAACGCATCATCCGTCAAGTCCTTGAAGGTTTAGATTATCTTCATAATAAATGTAAGAAAACGAAACGTAACTAAATTGATTATTACCTTAAATTAAGTTTTCATGTGGACAGATTAAATAAATCAAATATCTACAATTTTAAAAATATAAATAACGCAAAAGATTGTTTACCATAAAAACGTAATATTTAATGTTATGTTTTTTTAGGTAAAATTATTCATACAGATATTAAACCTGAAAATGTTCTTATATGCGTTGATAAGACTTATATAAAAAAATTAGCTTGTGAAGCAACAGAATTACATTCTATGGGTATAAAATTACCAGTTTCATTAATTTCTACTGCGCCCAAAGAATTTCAAGAACCTACGCCAAATTCCAAAATGTCTAAAAATAAAAAGAAGAAACTAAAGAAGAAGGCTAAACGGCAAAACGAATTATTGAAGAAACAAATGGAGCAAATAGAGGAAATAGAAGAGCAAAATAAACTTGCAAATATTACAAGAGAAAATGGCGAGTTGGAGACAAATAGTCCAGATCAAGACGTGAATACAGAAAGTATAGAAGATAATACGGAAAGTAAAGGTTCCCCCGAAATCTCAGAACCATCTGCACCATCGTTACATGTCAATGGAGTAGATGGTTTAGCAGGTGGAGAAAAAATACAAAATCAGTCAACCAATCGGTCAGACAAAGTGGAGAATATGACTTTGTGTGACGTTGACAAAAGTTGTGGTGAGAGTACTACTCTACCACGAGATCCAGAAGATACGGACGAATGTAGTGAAGGTTAGATTTCATTATTAAAATTATGAAATGATCATGGGTTTATTAATTTTGGCTTTTTTTTTTTTTATATATTTAGGACGTAATTTAAATCCACCTGAGAGCAAACAATTAAAACGGGCATCCGTAGCACCACTTGATCCAGCTACAGTAGATTGTGAAGTTGAAGTAAAGATAGCTGATCTTGGAAATGCATGCTGGGTTCATAAAAAATTTACAGATGATATACAAACACGTCAATATAGATCTTTAGAGGTATTGTTAGGATCAGGCTACGATACTTCAGCAGATATATGGTCCACAGCGTGTATGGCATTTGAATTGGCTACTGGTGATTATCTGTTTGAGCCACATAGTGGTAAAGAATATTGTAGGTTAGTATTTGGCACAATTTTATTGAGAATATCATTTTAAAATGGATAACATTCGTATATATGCATTTTGTAAAAATATTTTTAGAGACGAAGACCATTTAGCTCATATTATAGAACTGCTCGGAGAAATACCTAGACGTATAGCGCTTTCCGGAAAAAATTCAAAAATGTACTTTAACAAAAAAGGTGAATTGAAGCATATTACCGGTTTAAAGCCGTGGGGACTTTATGAGGTGCTTACAGAAAAATATGATTGGTCACCCAGTGAAGCACGTGAATTTGCTGAATTTTTAACTCCGATGTTAGAATTTGATCCAAGTATGCGTGCTACCGCTGCTGAGTGCCTGAAGCACCCTTGGTTGCAAATCAAGTGATCCTGTTTTTATTTTATTTTATTTTATTTTATCTGATTTTTTCTTTTTATTTAATTCTTTTATTTTGAAATTTCTGAGATCCTTACTCTTTGCAACCCTGATGCAATTAAAAGTCGAGAGTGTGACAGGAAGCAGAGATTAGAAAAAAGAAATTTTTATATTCAATTATAATTTCAATTTTCATATAAAACGAATACATTACTAGGCACTCATATCCTATATTTATGTCATATTCTATTTCACAAACGAAATGTAAAATGGAATCTAAATATGACACAAACATAGCATATTATAATGTAAAAATATAGGCGACGATAATAAATTATATTGATAAATACAATGTCTCGATATTATTAAGAGTTAGAAATCGATTGTGTAAAATCTTGTCTATACTGAAATATGCTTCCTAATGAAATACTCTCGACATCAGCCGCCTATACGTGTAATTATAAATTTGTTAAATCATCTTCATTTAGTGTGATGACAATTTAAATTAAAGTAAATAGTATTTTATTACTTTATGCATTCATTACATCCTTCGTACCGGTCACTTTATTTATCTACAAGTATTCCAAGAGTACCCACTCATAAAATACTTTATAGATATTTAAGGGCAGGCCCGTTAAAACACATATTTACATAACTTCACCTAACTACATTTCTTTTTAAGATAATTGCGGTTAAAGTCAAATTTAATAAAAGTTTTTTTTTCTTTTTGTTATTTACAATTTTCTGTGTAAACTGTTAGACATACAATGTAAATTTCTCACTACCTCGTTGCATTAGATATTTTAAAATACTCATACACACATGCCGAAAGATGTAGTTAATGCACAGAATATTTCTACGAATTTACAATGTATTCAAACGTACGAATGATTAATATCAAATGAGAGTTGGTCATCAGATTCTTGGTATATAAAGCCAAATAAGTGTGAACACAAATCGATATGAGACAATATGTTTTGACGGAATATTTAAAGGGGCACAAATATTTGAGTAAAGAAAAGATTGTTAAACTAATATATTATATTAGAAATATGAGTCTAACATGCAAGTATCTGAAGCAATATTAGTTTTGATTGTGCAAATTTATGTATTGATAGATCATCCCAAAGTAATACGGTTATTTAAAATAAGTTTTTAAATAACGAAACAAAAAAATATGCAACTTTAATCTAAGATATTGGATCATCCTAAAAGCTTCCTGCGTTTTCTTAGTTAATTTTGTATATGATCCATTCTGCTTTATTACTTTTCTCTGTACCATATATAATTCAATTAAATAACATAAAATTTTTAATATTCTACAAAAGTGTACAAAAACAAGAAACTTTTGAAACGACTTAATATATTTATCACCATTATTTGCAATATTCTTAATTTTTAATTTTTCAATACTTTGGCGATTAACTTTTCATCATGAAGTTGTTAATGTTATACCGATTTTTATTCATCTTTAAGACTATAATTTCTACAACGAAAATGCTGAAATTATTTTGGATCATAAATTTTTTGTATTTTATCATTTACTGCTGTGGCAGTGTGTTGCCCTGATTAAATGCCCAAAGCAAAACATACTTTAAATCCTTTATCGACACTTCCATGATGACTTTTATTTTTTCACTCTTAAATTAACATGTGAAAAAATAAATATACACACAATCACTTAAAACACTGTATAAATTCTATAATAATAATATATATATATATTTATTAGTATGATTATACAATAACTGTAAAATATTAAAAGAAAAATTGATTACCCATTCTGTCTATAATGAGGAAAAATCACATTACTTATGGGATGATTAATATTTTATTGTTTTCATTGCAATGAACTACAGTGAGTAACTTTAATATTCAAACACCGCAAAATTTTTATTTTTCCACGTTATAATTTTCCTTATAACGAAAAAAAATCAAATAAAAACAAATGGTCAAATATAATATTAATATTTAGACTATATCTAAGTAACAATAATATAACAATTTTCTTTTTATAATTTATAATATTTGTTAAGTAATACATTTTAAATTAAATAACGTTAGACTTTAACGCTACTCTAATATTCAGACTCTTAGAAATTTAACAACTTTCATTAATTCCGAAATTCGAAAATAATGTTCATTTATAAACACAGTAGTCGGTACGGATAATGTAAAGCCTTGTACAATTACTTGTATTTCGATATTCGTGAAATTTACTTGTCATAATAGTACGTAACATTAATACTAATTGTAATAAACGCGAACTTGTGATTTTTCATAATACCAACAGAAAATCGTATAGACTAGTTGTCATGCTTAATATAAATAAGAGCACCATACTATGAGACATTAGAAGATTTAAACACGAGAATCGTATACAGTCGAAATCACAAAGAGGCCAATTAAAGAAATCGAATATCTGTGATAGAAGGGAAATTATCTAAAAAATAAAATAAAATTCTACATTGAATGCATGAAAATTAACTAACAAGTTCTTTGAAGAAACAGTACGTCCTTCGATAATATAATATACAGAATGTTAAAAGAAAGTAATTATATAATGAAAGAGTTATTCGAAAAAAACAAACATTTGTGAACAAAGCGAATAGAAAAAAACGAATAAATTACGCAAAATAATTTGTTTTAAAGAAAAACACATGAGTGGAATGACGTTACTTTTAGGGCCGAAACTAAATTTAACATTTTTGATTCGAAGATAAGCGAAGAAATGGTGCAACAATAGAAGCAGGAAGAATTTAATTTATAAAATATGAAACACCTACTATATAACAGAAATAAAAATGTGTTTGCATAAGATGTATTTTGACATTTGAAATAATTTTTATTGTTAGCAAAATATATAGATAAACATATAGATCTAAATATTTAAAAAAAATAATTTACGCAAAAGTGCTATAGAAATAAAAAAATAAAAATTTTGTGGTTTCCAAATATCAATTTTACTCACTATATTTATTACTATATTCTTTTGAAAATGAAGCGAATGCACACAAATTGTCTTATTTCGTTGTGTGTTCCGAACTGTATACAGGATATTAAAGTAAATCATTCAATATTTATAAAGCTCATAGAGAACACTCTATACCAAGTGAAAAAGTCTTTTTTAGTAAACATAAATTGAAAGGTGAACATTTTTAAATGTTTATACCTCAATATTAACATAGAAAATGTTATATAATATAACATATATAATAAAAAACAAAAAAAAATATTAATATTAACATAGAAAAATGTTATGTCAGAAACAGTTGACTTTTCTACCTATGTTTACTAACAATAAGACTGTTATACTCACATCAGTAGTTATAGTGTGTTCTGTGTACTATATAAATATTGAATGTTTTTTTTTAACATCCTGTATACTTTCTTATGCCTGAAACTCTCTACATAAGTTTAAAACATCATGTGTGTGCGTACACACAAGTTTTGCATTTTCATATATTAACTGATCATTGAGCTCTCCGCCGATAAATTGTTTCCTGTTTTATATTAAAACAAAACAAACAAAAAACAGTGTATACACTGTATACTAATCATCATTGGTTCGTTCATGTTATCCTGCTTCATCATTTCAAATATTTTCTATATTGTTCCCTTTCATTCTTTTTTGTATTCCTTTCTATTCTTTTTGGTAAGACTTAAGGGTTTCATATCGACATGTTGATAGGCTTATGTATACGTACAAGGATCATAATAAAATCATATTTTGTTTCTTTGTGTACTTGGTGTATTCCACCAGGTAAGCGATTTTATTTATATAAGTATTTATTATTACGGATTATAGTCATTTCGTTTTATGTCAACAAGATATTTGATAAAAACAAAGGAAACCTGTTCAATGGTTGATCTCATGTAAGCAATGTGCATCTGCTGTCACTAACAAGATATCAATTTCGACAAAAGTCTTTGCGCAAATTTTTGTTATACTTAAGAGAAACGTGTTGTTTATTGTGTAGTTATATCTGGAAGGAGAAAAAAAAACAATTATTAATTTCGTTATTGAAATGAAAATTATGATTTATTATGAACCACTGTTCTGTGTAAAAGCAAAGATATTGTGACGCATATGAGGAGTACGATATTTTCTCTGTGACGAAAGCAAACAAAAAAAGAAAAAAAAAAACACCGAATAAATAAGGTCTTCTTTACTTGTAATACAGTAATTAATATGGAACGCGCTTAAGATTATAGACGATTCGAATAGCTAATGATGCGCCCTACGAAATAATGCCTGTTTTAATTGATTCTGTAAGCTACCAAATGAAGCACGCGAGCTGTAAGTGTAATCGCGACTTCGCATCCTTTAATGACAATGTTGTCAAATTTGTACAGTAAATATTAGAGTAAATAGCGAATAGAGATTGGTATAATTTTTTGTGAGAAGATTTAATGGCCATTGAAATTCGTTGCTATCATCGCAAGATAGTTTTGATGGATCGCGTCTACTTTATTAATTTTTCTTTTAATTCTTTCTCTAAATTAAAATCAGTTAATAAAATTAAATATAATTATAAACGCGCATGTATTTATCATAATACATAAAAATCCTATATTGAAAATAATAGAGTTAAGTGAAGAGAAGGAGAAAATTTAATTAAACTAAGAATCGAATTTAAAGACGAAAATTTTGTAAACAGCAAGATATTTTGAACTTTTCACAACAAACAAACAAATTTTCGATCAGCTCTATCAAAAATGAACGAATTTCATTGGCCTGACGTAAGTGTTCATCTTGTAGATCGTATATTAAAATTAAAATAGAAACCAACAAAAAATCGATTCTTAAGGAGTAAACTCCAAAAATTTATATCGAAAGAGAAACATGAATACCGACTTATGTAGAGATATATATACATCAATTATTTACGTAAGCGTACGATGGCTGCTTAAATGCTATAGTTAGGAGACAAAATTAACTAACTTGTATAACTTTGAAACATCTAAACTTAGCAGACGTTTCAATGGCTAATAATCTTCTCGAGCGTGTTATAATTAATATTAGAATCACACTGTTAACAGCGTGTCATATTTACGTGTATTTCTATCTACTCAAAGATAAAAGAAAAGAAAAAGATAGTGGAATAAAATGGTTTGTATAGGGACCTAATTTTGAATTACACCAGCAGATCATGTTCCAATCGGTAGGGGAAACATATTAAAATGTTTGGTAATGATTCGTTCAAATAAATTATGGCAAAATGTCGAGACTTCGTACGAGAAAAGAAAAAAAAAAGGAATTCGAAAAATAAGTAGAAAATTAATACTATAGTTGTCTGTGATTTTTATATAATTGCAAAATAACAGAGAAGACAAAGAGTATGAACTATTTGATGATAAAAAGGTACCGAAAGGATTAACAATGGGGATTAAATCTTTTTAGTAAACGTAAAATAAAAAATGAAAAGAAAAATAAAAAGCAAGACACTCGGACGAGAAAATAACACCAGCATAACATTGTTCTCGCCGATGTCTTTTGTAAATATACGTAAAAATGGTTAGAAGACAATTTTTTGTTTGCACCATGTTCTAACTATGGACTGATTATTTTCATCGGTCTGCAGATTAAATCGTGAATAACGGGACAGTTGTCAGAGACAACAATAATTTGATAAGAGAAGCGTATATATTACTGATTGGTACATATAGAGTCAATCTTGATCGTGCACAGTCCCACGTAAGACTCTTCGTTAAAAAAAATTATGCATGTTTAGAATATTAAGGCGCAAAGGTATATATTACAAGCACACGCAACACCTCAAGATAATGACAAACAATAACTATAAATTATTAAGGAAAGAAGAAAAAACAAAAGCAAGAGAAAAAGAAAATACATTATATAAGAACATCTTCATACGCGTGATCATTTTTAGAATCGTTTATCGATACGAGTGAGATCGAACGAAAGAATTAAACTTTGAAGAACAATATAAAAGGAAAAAAAAAAGAAAATACCCACAGAAATAGCGGTTATAAAAGTTGACTGGAGTGTTTTTAGAGAGAAAAACAAGCTTCCGAGCTTTTAGACAATATCCTAAATATTAGCACTAACAATAAGAGTGCCCCTTTCCCGGCCAACCCCTCCTTCCGATATCGTTACGAGAAATTACTTAAAAGAGAAATGATTAGAAAGTTTTAATCAACTAATCATAGAGAAAAGGATTGAGCGACAATTCATTTGATTCTTTTTCTTTCGTTTTATTTTTTATCCGTTTTGTTTTTTTCTTCTCTTCTAACTAAACAATTTGTTTCTCGATGATCGAATTCATATTGTTAGATCGTTTCGAAGCAGAATTATTTCGTATTGAATTTTTTCATTGTCAAATTTATCACGTGTTTCATAAAAATAATCATTTTCCGTTTTCGCATTGTATCTGTTTCTACGTATGTTTATTTGTTAATTTTCCTTATCCGTTTCGCAAAATAAATGAATTAATTAAGAATAAGCAAAAAATAAATAATAATAATAAAAAAAAAAAAAGAAAAAAAAAAAAAAGGAAAAATAAATCCGTAAAAATATGCACGTTGAATCGGCACGATGTCTCGTGTGCTCCAATTCTTCGAGATTAATAAATTTCTCATAATAAATACATGAGGCATTCGTAAATTATTATGATTAGTAGACAAGGAACGAACAAGCCGAAGAAAATAAATGGATTTGATGTTTAGATGCTGCCTCCATTATATGCCCTGCCACAGGAAAAAGTAAGATAATAAACATAGACCCATGTACCCACCTTTAAGAGAATGATATATATATATATATATATATATATATATATATATATATAAGAAATAAATTCGCAAGAAAATAAAAATAAATTAAAAAAAGCGATAACGTTTTCTTTCCAACTTCATCCAGTGTCCCCCCCATCAAATGAGAAAAAAAAAGAAAGGGAGAGTAAAACAAATAGAGATATAATATAATAAAAGAAAAAATTCAATACAGTTACGCATTTTATTGATTTTATATAAATTAACATTTTCTTTATTTTTTACGAAATAGTTTCAATTGAATAAAATTATTTTTAATCATTAATAATGTAGAATATATGCTACATGATATACCTACTTATGTTAAGAATATTCATTTTTTGTACATTTTTTACGTATAACAAAGAAAGTGATCATTTTTATTTGTATTTATATGCTAAATTATTTTTAATCAAGACAAGATATTTTTAAAATAAAGATTCTTTTAAGAAGACTGATAATTATATTGAAATATAAATGTGCAAAACAAATGTTTGTATAAAATGAATTGAATGTGAAAAATAATATAGTTTTATTATTGTTGTCGACATAACCAGTCATTAAACATAATTACCTTATACTGTTTGTGATTAAATTAAAATTTAACGAATTCAAAAATGGCCTTACTATTATTTTATATGTATCCAAATACTGCGTGTACTTATCGTTTTTTGCCATAGCACTTATAAAATTTATTTATGAAGTTTTTTTCTTCACTTTTTTAATTATTCTACATTTATTTTATAAATTTCCGGAAAAATAGGTATCTTCTACCAATCCAAATACAATTTAATATATACTATCCATTTTTTTTATTTTACGTATTAAATATCCACTTTCTATAAGCTAGGAATATATAATATTTAAATAAGCTGTAATTATATATATATGTATTATATATTATATACGTTCATCACAAATATTACATTCGTACGTATAATAAATTAAATTATATTCGAGCACATATATATATACCTAATTATAAATACTTCTTCAACCTTTTGTGTTTTAAAAAGGATAAATTGTGTTTTCATATAAAATATTAATAAACGTTAATAAAAAGTAAAATACTTGATCAATATATTTGAGCACTATGCCAGCACGTGCTATACTGTCATTTGAAATATAATTGGAAATAAAATTAATAAGATTAAATGTAAATACTTCTACTGTACGTATGTACTAGTTATGTAACACTAACAGGATTTTTATAAACAATCCTTAAGGATAATATTTTTTTAAGCTATTCATCTAAATGCTCATGTTTTTAAAAAAATATTCATTTATAGATGTACTCTCGCTCTTACATTCTTAGAACGGTATCATGCATTATATTTTACTTATAAAATACAGTAACTTTTAATATATCTACGAATATTTATAAATTATAAAATTCATTAGAAAATTATCACTTACATTAGTATTAAATTTATTTGTAGAATTCTACAGATATAGTTGTGCATAATATATAAGGCGTAATAGATAAGAATATTAGTTTGCATTATCTTTGTTTACGTCATTTAAAATGTTTTATAAAGGTAAATTAATCAGTGCAAACAGTGAAGAAGATAAAAGAAAAATTTAATTTCTATATAATTTTAAGACTTTTCAATACTGTAACACTTTCCCCATTATCATCTGTAATAAAGTCATATATATGCATAAATTATTAAATGAATTTTAAAATGTTTATATAATATGCACATTTTTATCAAATAAAAAAAATAACAATTTAACGTTCACTTATGGTAACAAATCATAAATAGGATATTGAGGGATACCGTATATGACTAATTGTAAAAAAAGAAGTCATATATTATAATATTATCTAGAAATTTATCCACAGAGTCAATATTAAATTAATAATTAAGTAGGATATGCCAGGTTTTACAATTTAAAAGTCACTTATTGTACAATCGCATATCGCTACATATGATATAGTATTATTTCTTTAAACAATTATACAAACTTCAATTTGAATCAGACCATTCTTCGTCATCTCTGTAAATTAATTACAATTTAGTTAGTAATTTTTCAAAAACTAATTAACGATAATACACAACCCATCACCACCAGAAGCGCTATTTACTGCAAACCAAACACTTTAAAGGATGTAGAAGAATTTTTTGAAATTGTATATCATATATCATCCAAGATTTGCTGAGCAACGTAATAATAATCATATGCACGTACATACAATATGATAGAATAAAACTTGCAGGCTTTTTATATATAAATAAACTTTTGAACACTCTAATTCTAGAATTTTTTAAATAAATATATATAAAAGAATCATTAGCATTCTTTTTTTAGTAGCTTTTTATACGATATAGCCTTATATTTAGCATTAATGAAAATTTCACTTGGACTTTTCATTGAATAGAAGTCATGAAAAAATTATTTGGCCGGAAATTTTAGCACGCCAGTGTATATGTATTACATATATATAAATATATATACGCGGATAATTTATTTCAGCAAGAAGCACTTTTTTTTAATACGCATTAGACATACTCAAATAAATATATTAAATACTTAATATCGACCCATGACTAGAACGTCCTTTTTTATTCTTCACCCATCTTTCGTTTCCAGACTCTCCAGAAACATTAATATTTAATTGTGCCGTTGATGTAGTCATTACTTCTTCATCTGATTCTAATGGACTAATCCTAATTGCTTGATACCATTGGTTCGTTAGATCTGTCATTTGTGATTTACAGTCCTTCAGTTCTTGCTGTGTAAATCTTCGAGTAAAGAAAGGAATGAAAAATTTCAAATCCCATCTCGCGAAACCATGAATCCGAGATTGGAGAAAAGATACTTCCATTTCTTCTTCAGTTAGTTCTGACAAATGTTCAGAATCGATTGTTTGACCCTACCAGGTACAAAATATAGAAAATATAATATAAATAAAATTTGTATAATGCGCATAACATTTTATCATACCCATTCTCTTGTTTTACTTAATGAAACTTCTTTATCCTTCTTTTTTCTTCTACTATTCTTTGGTTTCTTTTCTGCTCGCAAAAATTTTAACAATGGCATTGTAGATCCACCAAATATTAATGTTGTAATTAACACAATAATCAATGTAGTTGTAATAATCACATGACGAGTTTCATCACTAAAATCCAAGTGAAGAGAGAGTGCATATGATATAGCACCTCGAAGACCACTAAACCACATGATAAACATCATTTTTTTTGTAATTTGATGTTCTCTAAATCGATTAACAAGAAGAGCTAAAGGAAAAATATTTGCTGCTCTACCAATAAGACACAATATGATAGACCATACGACCAAAGCAGGTTCGACCTGTAAGAAATTAAGCAATATTGTAATCTAAAATACCAATCACAATTGTTGCTAAGGATGTTCAATGAAACTATTCTAATATTATATATACTTACTCTGTGCCTAAAACTAAATAGAGCTAATCCTAAATAAGCGAAGACACATGTTTCAGCTATAAAAGCTAAAGTTCTCATAGTCTGTTGCATTGTAATCTGAGTAACGGTTGATAAATTAAAATGAGTATAATGTGACATTACTATTCCATTAAATAATATTGCCATAATACCTATAATAATATAACACATTATAAAAGAAAAGTGTAATTTAATATTATTATGCATATATATTAAATTAACGAAAAAGATTTTTACCGGATAATTGTATGCCTTCTGCTAAAACATAAGGAGCATATGTAAACACCAGCATCATTCCAAATTCTAGAGATGGATTTTTTCTGAGATCTACATGCTTCAATAGTAAAGCACTTATAAGTGCAAAAACAACCCCAATACCAGCAGAGGCAAAAAACATTAGACAAAATCTATTTATACCAAGAATAATTGCTTCGCTAGTGGTAGTAGCATTATTAGATTCTAACACTGATGTAGTTAAAACAATAGATATTGCATCATTTAAAATAGACTCTCCAAAAACTAACATATTCAAAATTGGGTCGACTTCTAATGCATGGAAAATTGCAACTGTAGCAACTGGATCTACAGCAGATATTAATGATCCAAATGCAAAACTTTCCACGAAACTAAGTCTATACGCGACCTGTGCTAAACCTAATAAATAAATTCCTGCGCCTATAACAAATGCAGAAATCGTTGTGCCAACAATTGCAAATACCAGAATGCTACCAATATTTTGAAAAAAATTTCCCTTATGTAGATTATATCCAGATTCAAATATTATCGGTGGTAGTAGTACAAGAAAGAAAGCGGTTGGAGAAAAAGCTTCTTCCTTTCTCCAATTTGCTATATTTTGATGGGACATAAGATTTATAATCATACCAATAGCACCACCTAAGAAAACAATAACCACAGACTCTGGTAAATATTGGAAATTGGTTTGAAGCATAAGATGTATTAATAAAATTCCTAATGCTAATACGCAAAGAACAAAAAATATGGACATGGAACTATTATGTTCCTCTTCTGCAGAACCTTTATCAGGAAGTACTGGTTCTGCGGGTGTGAAAGTTGTTGTACTTGTATTTGTTGCATTAGTGATATCTGGATTTTGAGAAGGATAATCTGTAATTATGCTTCCATTTTTTTCATTAATCGAGGTAGCCGTTACTTCAGTGTTAATTTTTTCAGTCGTTACATTTTTGTCATTCTGTTCAATATTAGTCGATATACTTTGAGATTTTGAAGTCGTCTCAATAACATTAATTGTAGACAATTTAACTTCATTATCAGAATTTTTAGACACGTTTACCTTACTTTCATTTCCATTTATCGAATCTGCATTTGTGATTACAGACACCTGACTTGTTGTATTTATAATAATTTTCGAATTGTCAAGGACCGGCAAAACAGTATTGTTTGCCAATGACAATTTATCGTTTTCAAGGTTAAAAACATCTGTCACAGAAGATATTTCACCACATATGACACCAAATTGCAATATAAAAAAAAGAACACATTTACTCAGCACTTTATATTGTGTTATAAACAGATTCATTTTTACACTTTTCTTTACATAATTATTTCCACAAGTAAAATATAAATCACATTATCTTCGAACGGAATTTAATTACACATATTACAGCTACTTAATTTCTGGTATTCTGCTGTATTCAATGGAACATGAATGGTTAGACTTAAAGTCACGTGATAACGCAAGCGTGTAAAAAATCCAATCAAATGTTAGACGCCATGACACTATTTAGGCGGCAATCCATTAAACTTGTTTTTATCTTACATTATTTCATCCATTTTATGGATAATTTCTATTTTATAAATAGTCGCAAATAATTTCCCCCTATTGATATTACAATCAATATTTATTTCTATTTTATTTTCTATAATTACAACACCCATAAAGAATTTCTTATGTTTCCTTAAATGCTTTTAAAACACAGTAATTTAAATCACTACTAAGCAGTATTTGCCTGAAATCGATGCAATATTGTATAGAAAATTTCCTTGAAGCATTGAATACTAAATCAACTTCAAAAAACATTTAATATGGGTCACAAGAGATTTCGAGAATCAAATATCTCATTTTCTAAGCATGCTATTACAACAAAGCCATCAAATTAAAATAAAACATTTAAATATGCATTTTTGTTATTAAAACTAAATTAACAGATGAATAGGTAAAATATTTTGCATATCTCTAGAAAATTAGTTAATTTTGTTGGATCTATTTTATCAACAGATAAAATATATGTCTTTTTATTATTTTTAAGCATTGATATACATTTCAGATAATCTTTAATTCCTAATGAAGTCACACACATACAACTATATCTACAACTTTAGCATCTTTAAGCTTTTCAACGAGAAATCGTCTTTTTTTCAATCAGAGTGAATTTAATACATTAAATTCAATAACTCTATTAAAAATGTTTTCACATTTTCTCCCAAAAATACTGCTTTATAACCATTTTTCGTGTAGAGTCAATTTTTTAATGTATATACTCTATCTAAGATAATCATTTCTGATGAACTTTTGGAATCCGTAAATTCTACATTTGATGTATAATTTAATGAGAATAAAATTAAATTGTTAAGTGTAAGTTTTAAACTGCTGTATATGGATTCTGCAAATAATATAATAACTTAACTCTATTTTTGAACTATAAGTATGATTAACTTTATTAAAATAAATTATAACTACTTACCAATCATGTATGCATATGCTACATCATAAAAAAGTATCTATATTTTTTTCTGTATCTTGTAATGCTTCCTTAAGCTGATCTTGAAAGCACGTTACATCCATTTTTCTTTTTGATAAAACATGAAAAACTGATATTTAATTTATAGGATTAAGACAAGCATGTCCAAAATGTATACTATCAGCATTGACGTGTTGAGCAGTAATTATATTGAGACAATAACTGGCACATATGGTGTTTCCCAAAATATTGTAACACTCCGGGCATGGAATAAAACGAAAACAAAAACTTTATTTCAAGGACATTATCAACAATAAAATAGGCGTAAATTCTTAGATAATTCCGCGATTTGTCTGTGCACGTATATAAGATGCGACCATCCTTCCAAGTCGCCTGAAAATAGCCTTCTTGCCCTCAAGCTAGCTCGCAACAATATATACTTTTTTATTTATACTTTTTTTTTAGATTTAATGCAATGTTCACTGAATAGATTCAGTGAATAAATTTAAAATGTCATCTGGGAATTGTAAATATATCTATAAACATATATCATTTTTCATTTTTTACATTGAAATTAGTAGTGATGCCATAAGATTAAAAATATCAAAATAGAAAGTCTAAAATATAATATATTGATCACAATACGTTTTAAACCAACAAACCTATATGAATCATTTTATTTTTTACCGAAAATTAAATGTAGAAGAAAAAAGATACAAATTTTTAAAATTATGAGTTTCAATCCACTTTGCATACTTTTTTATTTCATAAAAATACTCAGTTGAACTTGTTAATTGTGCATGCACATTCTTTGAATCGTTTATCATGATATTTTCTGATAAATGTTCACTCATAATAGGATATATGTAAACTGTTTATTATATTCAGTGTGAAATATGTTTAAAATTATTTTATTGTAATTTTCCAAGGTTTCCACACGTTATGTGAAATAAGATGAATATAAAAGCATCTTTTTTCATTAAGATTTAAATACTTTATCGTAGGAAGCACTGTGTACAATATCCAAGAAGTTTTGAATTTGAAAAAGCTTGAGATTTTTTTTCCTTCCCTCTTCCCACCCTTGTGCTTTAAACACACCCCTCTAAAGTACATTTTATAGATTGATTAAAACCCTTTGGACATTCTATAGAATGACCAACTAATGTATGAAATACATGCTTATTATATATATTGCCCAATTTTAATGGGCATTCTATAAAATACCCCGAGTAATCTATACAATGCCCGGAATATACATATATATTGATCATAACATATATATGCATATACATTATGTAAATAAAAACAAGCAGTTGTGCATGAATAAAATCAATACCTACATACACACAGATATCACGTCTTACAGAAAGTACCATTAAAAAAAAAATAACAAAACATTAATAAAAAGAGTATGATCCGCATTAATACTCATTCTTTACTATCTCAGATTCCTGATCAGATTATTATAATATTTCTTTAAAATTGTACAAATGGTAGGAAAAATGCGGACCCGAGGAAATAGTAATAAAATGTTGAAATTACTTACTATCTATTCGTTAGGAGGTGAGCTTGAGCTGTTTTTGAAACATTTGAATTTGTCTTAAGAGACCTGCAAGTTTCATTGAAGTCGAAACTTTTCTTGGAGTATTTGTAATAGTTTGGCGTTTCATATTAAACACATGCATTGCATCTCTTGTACAGTTCTTGCTTGTTTTATTTAAATCAACCGGAGTAGAGGAATACATTTTATCAGTTGCAGGAACCTTCGTATCAATGCATAAAAAACTATTTCTCTGTTGTAATATTTTCATTTGTTGTTTCAATGTCATAACCTGTATAAAATATATAAGAAATAATGTTAAAAGTCAGTCACCCATAACTATAGTACCATGAAGTCATCAATTATACGTATGAATGTTTTAAAAAATAATATATTTATAGAATAATAATTATGCAAACTGTATGCAATATTATCTTACCTCTTTGTAAAGGCTAATCAACGCATTTATTTCTTCTTCTTTGGAATTCAATTCTTTTTCAAGCGTAACGATTTCGTTCATTAATGATTGATCATCAGAACTCTCTGCCTCTTTTCGCAAATTGTCATATTTTCTGTATATAAGATGCATGTAAGTATTCTTGAAAAGAATACAACATTTGTATGGAAACTTACACGTTCATTGTTTCAAATTGATCATGAAGATTCATTAAGACTTCTTTTATTCCTTTTGATTCAGATAATTGCATATTTGATTTGAAATTAGATTTAATAGAATCCACCATATTTTGCTCTTTCTATAATATTTATTTTTAGAGATATACATTAATTTATTATCATCTATTTGTCACTTACTTTTGAAACAGAATGCATTGTTTGCGGATAGTTTTGGAAATTCCATTTGGAAGTAAATTTTGTTGACGTATTTTTTACAGGAGAATAGTAATTCTTGATTGATTCTCTTCCTGCTTGAATTTTCTGTTTTTGTATATTATTAGGATTAATGAAAGAATTAGTTTCACTTTGTGCAATAATTTGCGGTTTCACTTGAGGTTGTATTGTTGGAGACTGTTTTATAAATTTTGAAGACGATTGACCATCATATGAACCTTTGGTCTCTAATATGCTAACAATGTGATGATCATTTCCCATCTCAACAACCATTTGATTCATAAGAGTAGATACAGGTTCTAATCCTCTACTAACTTTACGTATAAGTAATGGAGTAATACCAGTTGTATTCGGTTGCCTTGTTTTCATAATACTTAATACCTACCACATTATAAAAAAAAAAGTTTAAACATAAATATAATATTTAACATTCTACATTAAATATACTTGTTGAATATTTAATCCTAAGTTGTGACTAGGAGTTATTGAAGTTCCCACTACAAATGGTATATTTCTAAAATTAAATCTGTTAAAATATGATCGATTTGTCCTTTTTAATTTAGAAGCTAAAGTTGGCATCTCATAATTACGATTAGCCATTGGAACATAACACGCTAAATCAAATATTGTATTCTGTTGTTGATATAATTTAGGCTCATTATTAGGAATTTCTATTTTGCCTACATTTTGAGTTGGTTTATAAGCGTATTGATCTTTAACCCTAATTCATGAAGAGAATATTATTTTATTATCATACTTTTTTAAAATCAATTACATTATTTTTTAATGAACACTTACGTTGTAATCTCTTCAGAAGTAGGCGGTAGCTTATTATCATTATGATATTGATTTGTTTGATGATCCTGATAATTTTGAGATTGATTATAAATGTGAGGTAATTTTATATGTATATTATATTGACCATTATTGAGCCGTTTGTTTATTTTTTTCATTTCAAGTTTACTGGAAACTGCAGAAATGCTATCATTCTTCATAGCAGCATTGTGATAAAGTTCTACTACTCCATTCCAATTATGTTGAAGTTTAGAAGATGGTACATATTGCTCTGATAATTGATGATTTGTTCTATGATCTGTGATATCAATTGTGTTAACAATAAATTCATCAAAAAAACAGAAACTTAAAAAAATATTTTACCTTTCTGTTTACGTTTTTTAACATCTTTTCTTACAGTTAAATTCAATTCTTTGGTAGCTACAGTACTTTTCGAATTAATATTACGTAATTTTCCTCGTCTCTTCTTCATTTTGTTATTAAATGTTTGATCACCTTTACAAGTAGATTGTTTTTTATCTATACTAATAGCATTAATTGCAGACTCCTTATTTTTTTTTATTAAACTTCTACATTTTGATGTTTGCGAATTTTTTATATTACTAGAAATATTCAACCTTAATTTTTGTAAATTAATATCAGGACTTGCGAAAGATGAAATTTGACTAGTCCATTCGGTTGGATTATTTATTATTAATTGTTCATTTGGTTCTTTGAAAGAAAAAATATTCTTTTGCGTCATATATTCTATTTCTTGCTTTTTATCATCACAAATCATATTTTCGAAAAATTCCTCTTTTTCTTTTCCTTCCTCTTCCTCTTTCGTTTTATGTGTAGTCGATTTTAATGTTGAGCAAACAGAAATAGAATCAAGCACTCTATACAATTTTTCAGTTTCTTCTACTTTTGATACTTTTTCGTTACACATATTCATTTCTATAATATTAATAAATAATAATAATATAAAAATTATTAAAATGAAGTATTTGACTTATACCATTGTTTCCTTGAATTTTTTCCTCAAAATTTTCATTCTCTTGTACAAAATTAAAATAATTTTGATTTGTTAGAACACTGACATTTGAATCACAAAGACTGATGTTACCATCTGTTTTAGAATTTTCTGGTATTAAATTATGTTCTTGAGAATTATCAGTAATTGTTTCGATTATCGGTTCTACTTTTGTCTTATCTGTTTTAATTTGACAATACATCTTCATGTAATTTATTTTAGATTTCAACGAGCCACACTTTGTTTCTGCTACTTTTAATTTTCTACAGCATTGCTCCAACTCTAAATTAATTAATAAATTTATATATAAATTTATATCATAAATTAATTTTTTTTAAATATATTCAAAAGAGAGAAGAAAATTAAAACCTGTTCGCCTGCTATCTGCTCCATTTTTTATAGTTGTCATTGTATCAGATAATTTATTACATAGAATTTAAAATTTTATCTGTAAATATTTGAATTATTACAACATGAAAGAAACTGAGTAAACATTAAATTTATTTCATAGGGTTTATCATTTAAATATGTTTATATTAAAAAGACAATAATTAACAAAATGTCTAAAAAAAAATAAATATTATATAAAATATTTAAAAATTAAAAAAAGGTTACGCAGGTTACGTCTCTAGAACTATCAATAAAAAAAAGATTTGTTTAAAAATCTGTTTCTTTTGTTTGTAAAAAAAAATGAGTAATTATATAAAATTACGTACCTGAAATTTATATGCGAAGGGTGAATTGAGATAATAGTAAAAAAAAGAAGAAGTAATTTTAAAATACTACAAAAAAAAAATTAAACATGCATTTGTATCAATATAAATTGGACATAAGAACAGAGGAGCATCGTTTGAGAGACTTCAGAAGTTAACTGTTTTATGATTTATTATTATTAGTAATGTTATAAATAAATAATCTATAAATAATAAAGATAAAATACTTCATACAAAGTTGCAGTATTAAAAAAGAAAGATTTAAATGAAAATCAATCTGAAAAAAATAAGAAACAAATAATCTTATTGTATCATTTGAAATCTAGAAAAAACGGCGGGAAATGCATTTAAATTGTGAATAAAATTCGCTACTATCTCG